AAAAAAAAAAAAACCATAAAAATGAAACGTAATAATCCCCCGTAACCCGCGATTTACGACTAGTTTACAGGATGTTAACACGTAACTGCGTTTACCAGAGGGCGGCGTTACGGCAGCGGAAGGGAACGCGATCGAGAAGAGACACACACACACACACATACACACATCACACACCGAGGGACAAACCCACAGGGTTTCCTCGACTCGCGTTTCTCTGCTGCAGTAACGGCCAAACATTCGAGACTAAACTAGGTGGCATCCTAATTTACAGAAACTATTAGTCGAACAATAGAAACCGCACATTTTTCAGAATCCGATTATTTAATCGTATACACCCGGCCGTGAGCCAATATCCAACACAAGCGCACCCGATCACTTCACCCGCGCGTTTTACGCCGACACCGACACCGACACCGACACCGAACACATACACACACACATACACGATACGAAACACGATACGTACACGTACACAGAGAGACACGTCCGAGGAAACGCAAGCACTAGAGAGGGTGAGCGAAGCGTACGAACACGATAAGATGCATAGATGAGAAAGTAAGGAAGAAAGTAAGTAGCAGAACGAACGAAAGAGAAATAGCGAGGAACAAAGCGAAATTGGAAACAAAAGAAGAAAGGGAACAGGTATTCTTGGGGAAAACAGGTACACTGAAGGGAAACACACAATATACGCTACGCGACAAACAAGCACAACCGCGCGTTCACTGTAAATAGAAAAGGATGCAACATTACCTATTATACGACAAAGTTCATCTTTATTATCGTAACCTGTAATATATTTATTTGTCCGGTCGCAAAGGTATTTTATGTAATTTTTAAGAACCGAGCCTCTGTTTCATTTGAATTTGCCGCCAGTAGTGCGTTAAACGACGACGAGGCATTGGTCAACGATGCAATAAGAGAGATAGAGAGGCGTCCTTCTTTCGGTGTGTTGAGTATTTTTGAAAGCGCTTGCGAATACGCGTACGGCCTCCGCGGCCAATGCCTCGCGATAATTAGGGAGCGAAATCGAAAAGGACCACGTACGTACAATGAGCTCTCGCGATCGAAGTTGATCGTAGCAATTCCCGACCAGCTCTCACCTCGAAATTTAGAAATTCGTCTGTGCAAATCGTTGTCGCGTGGCTGTTCACGTGCAGGTTTCTGTCCATCGCCTTTCAACTTCGATCGCCTGAACCTGTGAACCGGAGTGTCTAAACCATCTTCGTTTCAGTTTCTAATCTCGATCGATTCGTTCGAAATCGTCGCGCAGCTTACAAGTAGAAGACGCTCGCTGTCCAAGAACGACGACAAGCGGAAGTTTCTTTGCAGATGGCGATAGTTTATAGTTACTATTGTTTTTATTTACAATTAAAAGCAAAGTATTTCTTTTTTCAGTAGATAGTCGAATTGATTATAAACCGGCACACACTATACGAATAGTTGCGCGCGTGTTTTTAAGAAAACGCCCGAAATATGTATGTGTACCCGTGACGAATCGCGAAGCGACGTTTGTTTCCGTTTTTTCTTCCCAACACCTCGGATACTACGAGGCTTTGGAAATACATACATAGTTTTCTTTAGTCACGGATGCAAGCAAAACCTGTCACCCATTACGAATTCCTCTTTTATTTATTACCGATTAGCATGTAAGATGACGTTCTACCAACATATGCTATAATTATAAATACACCTTATATATAGTGGAATAAGCGTTACATTACCTACCTACCCACCTACCTACCTATCCGTGCTTGACGGGTGAAACAAACAGATGAATCACGCAATCATATATTTAAGTTGCTACTTGGCACGTATACCTAAGTAATATACTAACATAAACAGTATGCAATAATAAATATGAGAAATTAAATATGATCTTTTTTTTTCACTGAATCGCACAGCAACTCCTCCTCCACTCTTCTTTATCTACCGATGCACGCGATGCTTCAACCATTATTTCTCGATATAAAAAAACATAGGTTCTCCGCCGAAAAGACAATGAATTATT